CCCTTCAGTTGGATTCCTCCTATCCCAGGAGAGGCAAAGGAGCAGGTGAGGTGGGGACTTCATAGCAGGTATACGATGGGGGTGAAAAAAAAGGGTTCAGATTTGCTTTTCCGGAAAGCATCGTGCCGTAGCAGCCTTGTCTGCTTCTCCTGTCCCTCCGCAGTCTGGACTTTCTGCATCTAAAGCCAGGTTGCCTATCCCAGACCAGATGTTGAAGTTTTAGGGCTGTGCACAGCAGCTTCAGCATTAGGTAGGTGAGTCCTGTGGAGCAGTCTAGCCCAAGAGGGTGGTTTGTTCCTGATGGCTTCAGCCAGACAGAAGGCCCCTGCTGTGTTATTTCTTGCCACAGCAAGGGATGCTGCTTGTGCAGAGCATCCCTTCCTCCCCAAGTCTGGGCAGGGGATGAAGTGTTCCCACACAGCAGTTTTGTCTCCATGGAAGCTTCTCTGCAAGCACAGTGCAGGCAGGCTTGTGGGGGGGAGGGGGTTCGATTTGGTTGGTTGATTTATTTTTCCCTGAAGAGATTGTTATTTTAAAGTACTTATCTATATCTAAACTGTTCTGTTTCTGAGAGACAGGCAGTTGAGATAGGAGGGGAGAAGTGACTGGTGCCAGGAGCATGTTGTTGTGAAGGCACAGATTTGTAATGTTCCTGATGTATCTGCTCAAATCACTGAAGACCGGGGTGGGGGCCTCTGGCAGGGAAGGGAAGGTGGAGCGATGATTCGTCTTCAATGGGATGTCTAGATAGCAGCCCCCATCTCTGCTCCTGTGCTATCAGGCTGATGAGGCATGTTGCAGGAGCAGTGGTGGAGCATCTTAGAAGGAGTGGCTTGCCAAAGTGGTCCCCAGAGAGGGGGCAGCCCAGTTAGGGCAGGGCAAGAGGTGAGGTGGGATTGGTGTATCCCACTGCCCAGAAACTTCCCTTCATGCCAGCTGCCATCTAGCCCTGTTTGGTGTTGACTGTGGCCAGCTGCCAGCTTTCTCCTCCTATTTCCTCTGGTTTGGTCACTGACCTAGGAGGTGAGAGGAAAGGGAAGAGGGTAGTGATGGGTCCTGAGCCCCTGCACGCCCTATGAGGAGGGACTTGCCAGCGCAGCCCTTTCCTCTGACATTAAATATTTCCAGGGCCCTGCCCACTCCTGGGTGGGAGCAGGAGGCTGCTAGAAAGCAGATACCCAACAGCCTCCACCCCCAAAACAATGTTGCCCAAAAAAACCATCCCTTGTTCAGGGAAGGCTGGCTGGAGGCTGTGCGTGTTGTAATTCCCCTCATTCCAGTGCAGCCCCTAGGTTAAAAAGGGATTTAAAAAGGATGTCCTGAAGCTGGTAATGCCAGAAATTAAAATAACTGGGGCTGTGAAAATGTAACCGTTGGGGGAATTCCAAACAAGGGAGCTTGTTTCACCTAGAAGAGCAATGATGACTCCAGTGCAGGCACCAAGTGCGTAAAGGGTGTTCACAAGAATAATCCCGTCTTCCTTCCAGACTTAAAGTTGATGCTACTCATTTTCCTGATAAGCACTAATATCACCAGCCCCATTCCTTTTTTCCGGCTATGCCTTCCCCATCCCCACCCAAGCAGGCACAGGAGACGATCGTTGTGGTTTTGGGCAGCTCCTGGAGCTGTCCACACTTTATCCCTGGGGACGGGCAGGGCACGTTGGCTGCCGGCCGGGGCACGTTGGCTGCCGGCCGGGGCACGGAGCCAACGATGCTGTGCGAGCAGCCAGAGGCTCCCGAAGGACACGGCTGAGGACACCAACCTTGCAGCAGGAGCTGGTGCCTGAAGGGTGGCTGGAGAACTGCGTGCCCCTGCTAGGCAGGAGGGGAACCTGCCCACACCATTTGAAGCACCCATGGGACGTGGGCAAAGGGGCAAGTCTGCTCCTGGCACATCGGTAGTGTCTTATTCACTGGAACGAGGTTCAAGGCTGTGAGTCTTATCTCGACCCTTATCCAAGTCAGTGTTAGCAGAGCTGAGTGATGGAAAGCATGTGGCCTGGAGAAGGCAAAGCCTCACATGGTGGTTGGTGTAGAAGGCTGGGATGGCTTGCTTTGGGCAAGGTGCTGTGGCAGAGGGTGTTGGTTGAAGACCCCAAAGGTCTGTATGTGGGTTTGGTTTTGTTCACTCTCTAGCAGAAAGCAAAAAAAAACAAACAAAAGAGTAAATTAAAAACAGCTCTCGGTTGAGAGGGTACGTGGTTAAGTGTTGGCACATTTCCCAAGCTGTGATCAAGGGCAGAAGAATAACCAAATCTGGGAGAGGATCAGCCGTGGACGTGGCCACCAGCTGCTGGACAGATGATGCACCAGGCAAGGCATTGGTGGCCCTGCGATGAGATGGCTTGGGGATGAGGAAGAGAAGTTTTCGGGCTGCAGTGTGCTGGCGGTGGATGCTATTGCCACAGCCCCTCCACGTTT